TTTTTTAATTTAAAGTACATAAAAAAATGTAAATAAAAATAATAATGACTTCGACAGTAAGGATTGTTACTCTCATCAAGTTTTTTTTCTAAAAATGAGTACATCTATTTTTATGAAAAAAGAAAAGTAAATTAATTTTTAATTAAAAAAGTAAAAAATGACAAAAATAGAGACTTGCCACTGCACAACACTTCACTCCACACCTTTGCCACACGCTGACTAGACTGTTTTTTATTGGCTATAGCATCCATGTCGGCGTGTGGCATTCCATTTTTGCCTCCCTGTTGCTCATGCTCTAAGAGGTGACACGCCTAAAAAATGACTTGCAAATAAGGGTGGAGGCTGATGTGGCATGGCATGGCAAGGCTTTGCCTTGCCGCTGCCAATGCTCTTATACCCATGAGCCATGAAACATGCATAACATGAAAAACAAAGTTTAAGGTCCCGTTTGGTACATGAAATTCAAACTATGAAATTGGAATTGGAGACTTTAATTCCAATTCCGTTGTTTGATAGCACAAAAATTATGTGGATTTGAAATTGATATTGCAAAAAATGAATTGAAATTGACAGAATTCAATTCTATGGAATTGAATCTCATGGAATTTCAATTCCAATTCCACCAATTCCTTATACCAAACAGACCCTAAGGGTATTCCAATGGGAGTCTCGAGAGAGTCTGAAGGAGTGTCTTAAATTTTCTTCTCAGACTTTATCATTCGGGTGCAGAGAATATAAAGAAAATCCGAAAAGGAATCTTTGAATACTCACTCTCAAGATTCTCAACTCAATCCATCCAATAAAAATCAGACGCGTGTAATCAATAATAATTATTTTTTAAAAATTAAAAAGTAGTTTCAATTATTTTGTACGGAGTAATAAAAAAACCAATCCTCTCCAATTGGGAACACTCAAATGTCAATTATGTCTACTTATATAATTTTACTTTGTTATGCTTTTATTTATTTTTATAAAATTTTTATTTTATGCAATTTTATATTTAAATATTTTTATGTTTGGCATTGTCTTAAGGACCAACCAAAATGGAGCGATTATACATTTCAATTATGTCTACTTATGTATTTTTAATTTGTCGTGCATTTAATTTTATTTTATGCAATTTATATTTTATGTGTGTCTACTTAAATGATTTTATGCACTCATTTTATTTTATGTATTTTATGTGTGTTAATTTTATATAATTTTCTCTAATTTTATGTTGATGATTTTTTAATGATTAATTATATATTTATGGTAATAAACAAATTTGGTAGAAAATTTAATGCACTGTATAATACAATTATATAGTCACTCCGTCCCATAAACTTCTTCTCCTTCTTTTTCTTTGTTCCTTAAAGTTCTTCCCCTTTCTATTAAAATCCAATTTTTACCCTTATTAATTCTCACCCTACCTATCACATCATACTTTTTATTTAACTAATAATCTATTCATTACATCAAGAGTATTTTTGAAAAGTCAACACAGCAGGATGTATTAGATAACTGATTAAATAGGAATAAAAGTTAGTAGAGTACTGATGTGGTAAGGTCTAAAAGCAAGATGTATTAGATAACTGATTAAATAGAAATAAAAGTTAATAGAATACTGATGTGACAAAGTCTGAAAGTGCATGAAGATTGAAGTAGTTTTTTTGAAAGTTTGAAAAAGTGCCTGAAATATCAAAATAATAACTTGGCAGAATTAGAAAGAGTTTCAAAACTTCTTGCATCGAGGACTAAGGATAGGACTATAGGAGTGACAAGATGTGGACTGCATGAAAAACGCGCACTCAAATTTAGTTTAGTTTAGTTTAGTTTTCTCTAAAATTTTTGTGATTACTATGTTCAATCAACTAACTTCTGTCCACTTAAAACACTAGTTCGAATGCTAACTAGTTGCAAAAATGACAGATTAATGTGAAATCCGCGATAGATTTGGCTGATTATCAAGCAAATATGAACTGAGTTACATTGCCAGAAACCGTGACGAGACTCCGTTAATAAACGGCACTCTCGTTGTGCTCCAACCTGAGAGTGTGCTCGGAATTGCACTTGGAGCAACATAAGGGGATATCGGAACGAAGAGCTAAACTTGGTGCACACCGGATTTGACACCAAAGAATGATTTCACAAACAACTTTTGTCGCTGGCAAACAGTTATCTGTGAAATCTTTTTTAGCGGCAATCTTTTGTGCACCAAGAATGATTCTCAAACAAACCATTTCAGTTCTTGGAACAATACCTAAACCTAGAGGCCTACTTTACTCCTCAACTCTTTGTACCATGACATTTAGAAATAAAACATTGATATCATTACCAATTGAACTCTTGGGAATGAGTGGCTATGGAGGGGATGAAAAAAACATTATAGTGTTAATAAAATTCCTATCATGTGGATCCCTCTTGTATTTCTTCTTCTGCAATAAATTCTACTTTAAGCAACCACTACCACCCCCCCATCATTACCACTACCACCAAATCTCAGCTTATAAGAATCAACTCCTCCTAAACTACAACCAAATAAGGAGCAAAACATATGGCTATAATACCCCCACCCATGGCTTCCCCTTACTCCATTTTTTTCTATGCACTTGTTCTTTTGCCATCCACCGTTACAGCTGAAGAACGATCGCCACATGGCGTCGCTAATGCTATCCCGATTGCAATCTCACCCGAGGCATATGCATTTTTCCACCCCGACACTCAACGCAGCCACAATAGTACTACTGCTAGAGAAGGATTATGTAATAAAAATAGGTCAGAGTCAGAATGCTCACCGGTTCCCGCGGCTTCTTATGTTCAGTCGAGTCTTGATCACGGAAGCAGGAGTGTGAACAGTGGAGGAAGATATATGGTCGGAGCCGGAGCCTGGGTTCTGATCGGCTTGGCATTTGCCGCACTCTTGGCACTCAGCGGCGTTCTCTTTGTGATGGTCAAACGGGTGCACAGTTTGAACAAGGAAAATGATGCTGCAATGGTAAAGGCAAAGGCAAAGCCAGAAGTTTGAGAGCACACCTTGATTCCGGTTCTAGCTGCCTTCTCTGTTGAAACTAGATAGGACACATGCTTCTAGTTGATGGCAATCTTTGGTCTGTCACACAACCTGAAACATAAACAGAAAATAATAGAATTTGGTGTGTGTGTGTGTGTATCAGTAAACTTCTCTTATGAGCATGGTTGAAATGTCCTCGTCCTTAACAAAAGCCAAACAGACTTTATCTTGCCAAAGTCTTGGAATTAAAGCCTGGAAATGTATGATATCATCAACAATGTTAAGTTTGTTTGGCTTTCTTGTTGAAGAAATGTAAGGCATTTCTCGGTGAAGAAAGTTTGATTGGAATAAATGTTAAGGCCGTTCAGTAAAAGTATTTCGATGTGAAAATAGAATTAAAGCCAAATGAAAGCCTATTCATACGGCTCACAGATCTCGGTGAGCAAGTAAATAGAATCCTAATGTATTAAATTATTCGTATTAAGAAACTTAACTAAAACCAATTACCAATACGAATATGAAATTATCACCAATATTGATAATAGGAAGCTAATACTCATACTAGCATTGTAAAGCCTCCTAACCCGACTTGGTTCGAGGAGCCCTATATCAGCTTCCCCTCCCCCATTGACTCAAAGTACAACTTCCCCTCTTATTCACTTCCATGCAGAGAAGGAAATTTTTAGAACAAAGTTCAACTTTTAAGTTTCAACAACAGCTTCAAATATCAACACAAAAAAAGAGTTGAGTTTCTTAAGAGCATGAATCCAAATTAATGATAACAAGACAAGTAACCTAACGATTGGCTGTACTGTTGCAGCAAAACAAAGGCTGGTTTCCTTGCAGTCACGATAGAACAACAAAAGGCTAAATCTCAAGGAAGCCATTGGTGAGAGTAATAAGTTTGTAGAACAGCTCAAGCACTGCACAATGACTTCTACCATCCACGTGAGCTAACAGACTTGATGACAGATCCCATAACCTGATCCACTGCTTTATTCCACAGGTGTGCAACCTCAACACGGGGCTCCTTCACAGAAATAGGTTTTTGTCTCTGTACAACAAAACATAAAATCTCAAGCATGCTGGAAAAAATATGAGTTATTTTAACATTTCACATATGATTTTGAACTTCTAGTTTGATTTCTGCTACTCATGCTTCAATTGTGTTCAAGAACTGTATGTATTAGAAAAAAAGGCAGCCCAGTGCACAAAGAGTCTAAACTCAGCTAGAGTCCAGGGAAGGCCCCAATCAAAAGGGTACGAAGGTGTGATGTAGGCAAGTCTTACCTTGCATTTCCGTTTTTGCAAGAGACAGCTATATGAGTGGGATGCTCTCACAACTACCAAAGTTTATGTCAGCCAAAAAGATTTCTTTGGCAGGGGGATGTGTGTTCATAGTTCTTAGCTCACACATTAACAACATATTCAAAAAGTGTTGTAATAATCTAACAGAATTGTACACAATATAAGCAAGGTCAGAGTCAGGCACATTTTGAGTTATTTAACAAAGAAAATCTCACCAACTTTGTCAACTATAAACATCTTTATGTGTATTTTTACAAAAAGAGTAAGACTATCAATTAATTTAAACAATAAACACATACAACATTTTGCGAATGACTAATTCATACATTCACATCAGTAACACAAGAATTAACTTGTATCTAAAAAAAGGCATTCTAATTTGCAATATCATAATATCATATTGCTTATTCAAACTGCTGCACGCCTGCACCTCAAACAATTAACATGCAAGCATAAATCCTTTGTGTGTATGTGTGGGCGCGTGGGTTGGGAGGAGTCTATTTGAAAAAAAAAACTTAAGGCATGAATACAAAATCAATTGCAAGGGTCAAGACTCAATAGCCTCCCTATAGTGCCACCCTCGGGGTTCTGACAATTTTGGTATGGTATTAAATGATGAGAAGATATGTTTTAAATATGGAGTGTTAACTGCTAAATTCATAAAGATTCAACCAAGAAGTAGAGTTTTTCGTAGTTTTATCCTGACAACAAAGGTATAACAAACAATAATAATTAATAATGAAAACTTTCCATGTACGGATAGTCAGATAACCCTTCCCAGTGCCTCTTTGACAAGAAATCACCTTTTTAAAAGACTTTTTGAAAAACCTCAAGTGCGAAGCTTCTTATTGAAAAAGATGTTTTCCTCTTGTGAGGTTTCAAAAGCCTCTCGCCTTGGAGATTTGTGCAATTGATGCTATTTGAAATAGGAAAGCTCTAAATCATGACGGGAAAAGAAGGCATTGGGTAATATAATAAGCATGCCAAACTACTTCTGAGATATTCACTTATTTAACCAACTCTATGACAAATACAACAGAGTACATGTGTTTGCAGAGCAAGCCCTTTGACTTCCCCGTAATCTCAATGAATACAACTCATTTTTCTCAATATTTATTTGATCATTTGAGATGAAGGACTAGTAGAACAAAATAATAGACATGTACACAACCAGCACTGAGTAGATTACGCCTATATTAGGAGTCTGGATACAGCCTGAGTCTATAACTAATTTGATTTTCATGTCTAAATTATTTAGAGCACTTATGTGCAGTGTATATTTTAAGTGTTGAATACTGTTGGGTGGAGATCTCTGATGATCTACACAGTCTCATTAGTCTGGTAGGTCTATAGAGCTGCACGGGAAGTAAAGCACTAAAGCATGTGGTTATGGATGGACTATTGCACAAGGTGGAATAATCATCTTTCTCATTCTTCACAAGTGTTATGTCTGGACTGTAGTATGTCACTATACTTGTTTTTAGACTTCTCTAGGTTAGTTGTCCTGTGGGTCTGTGGTGTGATTTCTTACAGAGCATGGACTTTTACCCAAGTCCTAAACACTAGTGATAAACAGGCTACATATCTAGACCACTCAAGAATAGGCATAGCTAACTAAATTAACTAAAGGCACTACATGGCTAGATATTAGTGAGCCTGTTGATTCTATGGTCTACATTTCCACTACAAGCAGGTTAGAACTTCAAGTGTGCTGGTAAAACTGAACTAATTGAAAGGAACTACTCATATATTTTATTGAGTATAAGGCGAGCTATAGTAAAGGGCCAGTATATGGAGTCATGACATTTTTACAATAATCTCACAATGCATTTGGGTAAAGGCATACATGATGAGTTCACCTGGAAGGCAGCCCAAAGAATGGCACTGCTAGTAAATGTTTTTGTATCAGCCTACAAGATTATGCGTAAATAATCTCAATGTTTTAGGCAGATCTAGATACAAAATACAATCGGTGAAGCTTTTCAATTACATGCTTGCTTTTCTAGAGATGTTCTCCAGTAAAAATGTCCTGTAATTATATTCAAGTAACATGTCCAACATAGAAATTTGAGAAGATACAACTCAACTTTCAAGGGGAAAAAGAAATCAAGACTTCGAATTCTATCTAAGCAAAAGAGAACACGGATTCAAACGTAGAGTTAGAGAATCGATAATCTGAGAGAGAGAGTTTTTGAAAATTTCACCTGAGAATGAGGAAAAAGTTGAGATTGAGTGTCGTAGATGGTCTTGTAAATACTCCGGCGTTGCTCAAATACCACCACCGCCGTGACTGCGCTCCCCAATGCAGCTCCGAGCAGACGCTCCTGCGTGTTATACATAGTATGTCAACACAAAAGAGACCGCAAACAGAACTGGACACCGGAAATGGTTGCGTCACCTGAGAAAGTATACTGATCATGACGGAGTCTGTGAACGGATCTTCGGTCACGAGCGAACAGTCCGAGAGAATCTCCGGCAACCTCTACGAATGAAGATCGAAACTGGCCGAGTTGGTGAATGTTTTGCCCAAGTCGCCGGGCTTAGACGAATCCGCTCCGTAATGGGCTTAATTTGGTTTACGAAACTGACCCAATTACTTGTGATTGGCTTGGTTTGGTCTTCATCATGTGGATTAAATGGATATGGGCCATTTGCCAAACAAATTTTAAAAAATACTCCATACTCCGTATTATTTATCTCATATGGAGTACTATTTTTTAGAAAGAAAAACTTAAGGCCCCGTTTGGTACACGGAATTCAAACTATAAAATTGAAATTGAACACTTCAATTCCAATTCTGGTGTTTGGTAACACAAAAATTATGTGGATTTGGAATTGATAATACAAAAAATGAGTTGGAATTGATGAATTCAATTCTATGGCATTGAATCTCATGGAATTTCAATTCTATTTCCATCACTTCCGTATACCAAACTGACCCTAAGTGTACCCCGTAACCCAAATGCCACCAATCAAAATCAATTCAGTCAGCGTGTGGCAAGTTAATGGAGTGACATTCCTTCCAATTGCAAGTCATTGCTTTTGTCAATTTTTATACTTTTTAAATATATTTTACGGAGTAATTATTAAAATTATTTTACTTATATTTTTTTCATAAAAATAGATGTACTCCTATTTTAAAAAAATCTTTTTTTATAAAAAACAACAAATTAAAAAAAAAGAGTGTCTTGTAGCTGTCATGCCAAGCATGGCAAAACCTCTTAACCACGCAGGCAAATGCATTAATTGGATGATGTGGCAGGGCGTGGCAAGAAATTGCCTCGGGCACTGCCGGTGCTCTTATAAACACACACTATTTGTGTTTCACATGGAAAATGGGTATTCATATGTGTGTCTGTAAGAAAGTGTAGTATACTTGAGGTACACCACATTATGAAACGCCTAGCAAGACAAATTTTTTTCTTTGTCTAAAAAACAAATTTTAAATTGAAAACATTAATGCCAAATTTTAAAGAGGTAACACTAATTTCTAAGACAATTTCTTTAATGCCAAATGTTGAGGAATAAAGTGATGTGTCCAAAAAGGTTTGGACCAATTTGAGCATATAGCCATGCAATGCACTTTTACCCAATGCTAAGCAATCCCAAAAAGCTCCGGTCCCGTCCGTTTAAGCCTCCGTCACGCCCCCGTCCCTCCCAACTTCTCGGCCCATCTCCCGCCCTACTTTCTGATTGTTTCCCCCCTTTTTAAAACTCTACGCCTTCTCTACCGGCTACATAACTTCTTCCTCCTGTATCCATCTCGATCCCTTGCATTTAAAGCTTAGCATTTCAGCCATGGCGGCGCTCCCGATCATCTCCCTTGCTCTCGTCCTTCTCTTCTCGGCCAATTTCGTTCGAAGCGATGCGGATTCGTCTGAATTTTGGCCGGTCGACTCAGTTTCACCGACTCCTGCTGTCGCTCTCCCTCCAGAGAGTATCTCCCCGTCGGCAGAAATCGCCGATGGTTCTATTCCTACTCCACCGCCAGATCTGGCTCCGCCGTCGCCGTACTCGGCGAACGCGGATCCTCTGTCCATCCCGTTTTCTCCGTCCATGTCCCCTGCTCCCGCGGCCGGCGCTCAGATCGCAAGCGATGCAACCAACGAGGGCGGCCAATCGTCGAGCGAAGGCGGAATGAGCGGCGGCAAGAAGGCCGGAATAGCGGCCGGAGTGATTTCCGGGGTATTTGTGGCAGGGTTGGCAGGGAAGATTTACAAAAAGCGACAGGACAATATCCGCCGGGCGCATTTCGGGTTCCGTTAAGCTCGGACTTGTGCAATCGATCATCATTCAATTCGCCGCCGGCCCGGCGCCGCCACCATATATGCGCGCATATCTTTGAAATTGAGACTCGCAACAATCTCATCTCCATAGATTCAGGCCATCCACATACCCGAAGAGGTGATGATGAAGCAATTATTTTCGAATTCGTATTTTTCTATTTTTTCAAGTTTATAAAGATTTTACTCCCTAGTTTTTAATTCGTAGTGTTCATGTATTCTTATTATTAATGAGTGCATATCTTATGGAGAGTGTAAAGAATGATAATTTAATTTCATAAAAATGAGATTAATATTTTAACATGATTAAATCAAATTTCGAACGGCAGAGATGAAAAATGATATTGTAGATATATAGGGCATACACATACGGACAGAATTCATTATGCAAAAAAGCTAGAAATTCACCAAATTTGAGAATAATAATTTGGTAGAAGTATTTTATAGAACAATAATTATTTATCTGTCACATATAATAATTATTGTTGTGTCTGTCAAACACTTGTTTGCAAGCTTCGGATGTTTCTATTCTAGCATAACTCTTCACAATGAGAATATCTAGACAAGTTTAGATGCGACATATGAGAAAGATAAAAAGGATTATGTAGTTCAGCAAAAAAATTGGAGTATGTAGCCCGTAGGGTAGCTTAGTTTGTTCCAGAAAGTATAGACTTGCAACAAGGTACAAGATCAAAATCTCAAGTAATAATTTTGCAAAGCTCATTAGCAAACAAAGCCAAATTCCAAATAAACAACTTTATAGTTACACCAAGTTTGACACCATGTTTCATAGACATACATAAGCAATCATTATCCGAGTCATACCAACAATCATTATATATATGCGCTCTGAAAGACATGATATCAAATTTTGATACTCCCTCCGTTCGGGATTAATCTTCTCATTTGGACTTTTTCTCATTTTTTTGGAGTGTTGACTTTGGAAGTAAAATGTCTAATATACCTTTTATTTCTTTCCTGTTTTACAACACCAACCCTGGCCTCCCCTCCCCTGATCTCTGCCAGGGCTAGCACCCACCACCGCCATCATCCCCGGCTCCATCGTCGCCGTCAGCTCCGCCGGAATTAACCGTCCAACCACCGTTGTCACCTCTACCACAATTGACCCAACCCCACCACAATCGCCCCTCAGCCCCAATGTAACCACTTACCATCAGTCACACTATCATCCCTAGCCGCCACCTCCTCTGGGAGAAAGAGAAAAGGGGAAGAAAAACGAAGGGAAGAAGATCTAGTACAAATCTACACTAGATCTGAGAGAGAGGGAAGAGAAGAATTTCGGGATGAGAAGAAGAAGAAGAAGAAAAAGAAGAAAAATAAAAAGAGGTATGAAGAGATCTGGAGAGAATGGGGGGAGGGGGGGATGAAGAAAAAAGAAGATAAAGAGGAGGAAGGAGAGGAGAACGGATGGAATTAGAAAAAGGGGGGATGAGGGAGAGAGATAAGAGTTTGTGGTGAGATAAGAGTTTGTGGTGAGGAAACACGGGAGTAGAGAGAAAGGGGGGAGGGGAGAGATAATGTGAAAATATTAAGTGAAGGTATTTTTGGTGGTTAGTGTATAAAAAATTGAAATGAGAAGATTATTTTCGGACGGAGGAGAAATGGAAAGATTTTTTCCGGACGGAGGGAGTATTAAAAATAGATTTACCCATTGGGAAAAAATTGCATATGCTGAGTGCCAAATGAGTGAAACTATGGCACCTTTTATTCAAGTACATGGTCACTTTTAGCAGTTCACTTTGATACACATGATGTGGTAGTTATTAGTATGCATACATACATACATATACATGAATAGAAGTTTTATTGGTACATGAATAGCAGAGAAGTAACAATACTCGTAACGAACAATTTCAAAAGGATGAACCATATCCCCAGGGTCCTGTGTATTATACCGATATTGATGGGTATAAGGTGGGACGAAGGTATAGAGTAGAGTACACCGTACTAATCTTCTGCTGGAGGGTCCACCCAGCGCCCATGTTCTTTAATTAGGTTGATCAACGCATCTGTGGCTTCCTCCATTGCAATTCCCCGCTTTACAACACTCTGTAAACAGACACTCCCCTTTAGCATTTTTTCACCTCGTAGTAATAAACTCACCCCATCTCAGTATTTTTGGAAGATAGGGTAATTGCAAGATAGAGTGTTGCTATGCCCAGTCCCTTTTTGGCTAAATCCACTAAATTGACAAATTCACCCTTAAATGTACAAAAGAGAGAATTTAAATAGGGACATGCAAACCAATTTTTAAGGGCAAAGTTGTACATTTAACATAAAAGGAGTGGATTTAGCCAAAATGGAAGTGGGTATATCAGCACCTTGCAAGATTGATGTAAACAAAAAAGGTAAAAGTTGGGATGAGAGCTTCTTCTCTTCAACTTATTCTTATTACTTACTCCACTATTTATTCTTATTGGAATCAGATCAGATCAGAAACAACTTTAAATATAACTACAATCGGGTCAGACCAAATCAGAACTTATTTAATTCGGATCACAACTAATCTGATCAAGTGAAGAGAACAAGCCCTAACTGTGAAGTAGTTCGCACAAACATTACCGAAGATGGTATGTAACAAAAATAGTGGGACGGGAAGAGTGTGTATATCGGTGAGTGAGTTTAGAGTCTAGGGAATGAGGGTACCTTTCCAACATAGAGATCTATCTTCCCAGGAGCACCACCAACGTACCCAAAGTCTGCATCAGCCATCTCCCCAGGTCCATTCACAATGCAGCCCATGATAGCAATCTGAATAGGCAGAGAGAAGAAGTTAAGTAGTTTGTTGCTGTACATCTTCAAGATGAAGTCCTAAAAGAGGTCATTTGATTGGCAATGGTTGAATAAATGGAAATCCTTTAATATTAAAAAAAACCATATAAGTCGAATAACTAAGTGAAGAATTTTTTTTATCCAGCAGAATAAGGTGAACATAATGAGCTCAAAACGATTGAGTTCCATCACAGTTTTGGTACTTACTGAAACACCAGGCAAGTGTGACGTCTTCTCCCGTATTTCTGCACTTATCTCTTGAAGGTCAAATAGAGTTCTGCCACATGATGGGCATGAGACATACTCCTGACGAAAGGAAAATTTATATAATTTATGTATCCGTTTCAAATGAAAAAAATGAAATTGCTAAACTAAATTATGCACGCAGTTTTTTCTTTACTGTCTTTGTATTCCTCATTCTGCATCCTTGTAGAAGATTGAAAGATGTGTTTCTAAGAAAATCAAAATCATTATCAGGGGCTTCTAACAGCACACCGTCTCCAAGCCCATCTACCAATAAGGCACCAGCATTGGTCCCCGCACCAATTACTAAGTCGTCCCTGTGATTGAGATCGTGTACTAAGCTCACATGACTTCAGCATTTCTTGCACACAAACACAACTAATCTTGAACTATTCATACCTGTGAATGTTCTTGGGAAAATCAAGATGATGAATTACTGGAAAATCCAAGGAATTTTCTGAAAGATATTCAAACAGCCTGCAACAGGCACGAAACAACTGTCAGCTTGGGACACTCAGTATTGGCTCAGAAAGGAGTACTCGTCAAATCTCTTTTTAATTTATCTTATAAACCCCTGACTGCTTAATATATAACTCTTCAAGTTGGTCCACAACTTTTTATAGGACTCAAGAGTACCTCCTTGCAGCATGAACTCGGCTAACTGTTTCTTCAGTGCATGGTAGATTGTGAAGTATCAACGTAGCATCAGAGCTCTTGAGGAACTCCAATTCTTCTTGGGGTTCATCACCGCGTACCGACACAACCAATCGAGTGCCTAAAAGAAAAGTAACCCACGACACACGGTGACTACTGACATTTATAAAACAATAAAACATTATATGCTAAAGCACAAATAGAAAAGTTGCACCTTCTGCGAGAAGTTTGTGAGCACCACTGGATAATTCCTTGAGAGTAACCAAGACCATGGCATTAGGAAATGGCTTCGTTAATTGCTCTGATAAAGTAGTGATAACTCCCATACTAATGTCTATCAACCTCTTGAGAGCCAAACGCTAGCCATGGAAGGAGAGGAGCAAAAAAAATCAGCATCACAGCTCACGTCACATTATATTTAAAAATAAATAAAGGAAACGGCACTTACAGCATCTGTGTCGTGAACTGGTGGAAGCTCTCTTAATAAAATTGAGTCCACAGTTGCTAAATCCTAAATCAGCATTTGCCAAACCATACTCTCAATAATACAGAGTACATTCAACAGAAGTAATTACTCTGTGCTAAAGTATCATTACTAAATAAGATTATAAAAGAAATAGTTGGACCTTAATTGGCATGCCAACAACCAGTTTTGTTGCTAATGATTTGTATAGAAGTTCAGGTGCCTGCAAAAGAAAAACATCAAGGGAAGATTTCAGAAACTAATTCTAAAATATAAAAAAAAAGAAATGAGGAATATATACATTAAGTCCTTGATTGGTTTAGGATTGGTGAGGAGGCGAGGGGTGAAACTGGTTTTACTAATTTACTAAGAATTTGTGTTATATCATAAAATAATTATCTCCTTCATTAAATCATACTTCATATATTTCTTTAATAAATTCCCACTTTTGTTTCTACTCCAACCAACTAAAACTAATGTATGACTAAATTGATATAAAAACTACAAGTCCTCCCTTTCAATCTCCTCGAATATTCCCCCCCAGCCAAGCAAGGGGTAAAATGATGATATATTTGCTAAGTAACAGAACCGAACAAAGAGCGAAAACAAAATGCTAAATAAAACCTTCAACTGATCTAAGGAGACAGACATGAGGACAGAACCATCTCGATGCAAAACACCTCTATAATCCACCTCTTCACCCTGCAAAACTTGCACCTATGGGCTCAAAATAAAATAAAATAAGAGAACTCGGCTTTATAGTGATTCAAGTTAAAATGCGACCTCTTTTTGAACTGGCAACTGCCCTATTCGACGTTGAAAATCAAAATAACGGCGGTGCTTCTCTTCAAACAGTTCCTGGAATGGATACAAAATCAAAACTATAAAGGCCAATTTTCAATTGTTAAAGTTGATGATTCTAAGAAAATTTATGATGCAAATTAGTTCATGCAATCCTACCACTCCTTGCTGAAGTTGAGCTGCTCGCATACCGAGGTTTGCCAGCCGCCGACACGGATCAATCTCTTCTTCTGGAGGTTCAGTAAGGGAAACCCTGATCGTATCACCCAAACCATCCTGTATGGTAAAACAAGTTTCTTCATTCAACCACTTACTTAAGCCAAGCCATCCTCACATTTTTATGTACCAGTTTGCCGCTGGAAGTAGTTCATCCAATATGCACAAGAACATGCTAATTGCTAACTGCTGAGAATCCAGCATAAGTTGTTTACTGTGTTTGAGTCTAGTACAAAGTCTGATGCAAACATCCTTTACCACTTGAGTATGCTTTTGGGTGAACTAGGCCTAATTTAACAAGGTTTTATATTCTGATTCGGTAGTGGTTTGTGTAGTATCCACCCATGAGACAGTGTTAGGCAGCCCGAAGGGAGGTCAGTTTGGACCCATTTGTCCACCTCTTCAGTTGTGTAGATTGGAGCGAGGGTATGTGTTGAGTATTTCCACTGGTAGTCATATCAGTCAATAAGTGTGAGGTAAAGAACCTAACCTCTTTAGAATTATTTTGGATTGAATTAAAATTGACACAAATCAAGCCCAACTTAAAATTTTTCAAGTTAATTCAATAGCATAGGAACGGATGTTCATTCCATGAATTTCAATCAGGGAAATGAAGAAAAAAATACCAGCAGTAGTGTTCCGATACCAATAGCAGATTTCATCCGCCCATCTTCCCCCTCACCAGCTTCAGTGACACCCAGGTGTAATGGATAATCCCATCCTTGGATGTACATCTCAGCTACTAGAAGACGGTACGCTTCGACCATAACAACCGGGTTGCTAGCTTTCATTGAGAAGAGAAAATTATGAAAGTCCAACTTCCTACAAATTCTTGCAAACTCAAATGCAGATTCAACCTGTTCAACATGACAGTAAGATGCAGAATGTTGAATGCCATATATAGCTTAGCAAGTTTCTGCATTAGCTTGTGACTGTGTATATCTGCTGCTCACCATCCCCCTTGGCGAATCCCCATAATAACTCATGATGCGATCTGATAGGCTTCCATGGTTTGTACCAATACGCATTGCTCGCCCATATTTCTTGCATTTTTCAACCAATGGTGTAAACACCTACACCATATGGAGATGTATTAGATGGTACTGCAATTAGAGCTTTAAGGTATGTTTGGACCCTTTAAAACGTTAGGGAAAGTAAAAAAACAGCAGACTTAATTCCTAGTGTTTGGTTTTACCTAGGAAAATTCAAAGAAAAATGAAATGTGATTAATGCTCTTTGAAAAAAATTTACACATGCCTTAGATGTTTTAGTCTTTAACTCTTTATACAATACTACAATAGAAATAAAGAAATAGCACGAGTTCTAAGAAAAACCAGAAATAATTTTGTTTGTTTGAACCAATGTTTAATTTTCGCCTACACTTTCTTTCCTCCCAATTTCACCTCTATTTTCCTTCCTTTTTGTTTTCCTATATAAATTTCCAGATGGACCCTTAGAAACTGACTCAAAATTAGAGAGTAATAAATCTGAAATCGGACATTTTTTTCAACCGTTGAACACCTTTCACCAAGGTACAACTTTCTCTATATTATTAAATTTATTTATTTCATAAAAAAAATTAGCATAATTGTTTGGTACTCTTTTGAGAAGAAAAAAAAACATTAGATATAATGAAAAATAGATTCTTTAGTTCAAATACTCCTCTATTTTTGGACAAAAATAAGTTTGCGTTAATAAGTCTTCTTGTCACGACTATTTCTGAAAGGCCTAACCTCCTCAATATGCTCAAGTTCATTCTGATAATCTTCCTCTGTGTACTCTAGCTTCTCAAACTGGGCCCGTCTGTCAGCTGAAAAAAGTATTCATTAAGAAAATAACGACCACTGACCACTCAACGACTTCTATCAAAAACGAAACATGTGTATCACATGATGTAATGTACCAAAGTTTCCAGGGTTGACACGAATCTTATCAAAGCATTCCGAAACTCGAAGAGCAACAGAAGGAGCAAAATGAATGTCTGCCACCAAAGGAATATTATAACTGCACAGTGAAGAGTAACTGATAAGATACCCCACATTGTTCCTTTTACAAAAACATATTCACAATTCTTGCTAAGCTTAGAAATTAAAAACATACTTCTTTTGAACAAGAGAGTTTTTTATTTCAAAGCATGCATCGGCTTCTCTCTTGCCTTGCACTGTTATGCGGACAATGTCTGCTCCAGTATCAGCAATTTTCATTACCTGCATGTGCAAGGATTAACTAAAATTACTTCTCTCTTTCTCATTCAAACTCCTTCCCATAGTCAGCCTGGCGGAAAGAGACGGACATCTAATGAGTGTGTTAATATTCTGGCTGAAACAAAAATTACTGAAAAGAACCTGTTCGACAGTTCCAGAAACATCCTTAGTATCTGTGGTGGTCATAGTCTGGATTCTTATAGGATGTTCCCCACCAATTGCGACGTTCCCAACCATCACAGTTCCAGTTTTTCTCCGTATTGTTTTGTGTGTAAATTCACAATATTTTGTCCTAGGAACTACAAAAGAATGCATTACAGCGAGGTGATTAGGATAAGCATATACTCCCTTCGTTTCCAATTAAACTTCGGTGTCGGACTTCACAGACTTTAAGAAAAGTGTTGGAAAGTAAATTGTGAGTGGTTGAACTTTAATAAGAGAGAGAAAGACTATGAACTACATATTTCAATTCTTAAATACTCTGTAGGAAAAAGGAAAAGTGTAAAGTTCATGTTGGGACGGAGAGAGTATTTAGAAACCAATTTTCTGTCTACTAGACTACAACAATGCATAAACCTTTGAGGATTAAAAAATAACCATGAACCATTCAACAAGATGCAGTAATTTATACGGCCCCTAAGCCCTCAATCCATACAGGTCTGTTTTGAAGGAGGGATTTGGATGGCTTAGGACCTATTTCTCTGCACCATAAAAAAGTTGGTCCATTCGGAACTGTTAAAGATATGTTCTAATCTTTCTGGTTTGGTCTTATATTTCTCAAGGGTCTTTCATTTAGTCCAAATGTTCAAAAATAGGATGTTTTCTATTAAAAAAAATTAAGGCGATATTGAATTGTAAATTGGTAATGCAAATATGCAATCACATATGTTGTCAATCTGTCAACTTTTATAATATCTCAAACGTCTATGGCACCCAAAGGCCAAAGTCTTCCCCTCCAAAACCATCCAACCAAACACAACCTAACAAATTTGCTACAACCACATCTTGGTAAAAGATTTCTTTCTGCATACCTAGGCCAATACAAAGATCCAACCTCATACTTTTAAAGGAAATTACAATGAAATATGAGTAACCGAGAATACCTAGTAACGGACTCTCTGCTGATGCGGGCCGAAGGTCAACCATATCAGGGCCAGGATTGGAATTTCTGATCACAAGCGCCTTTGATCGGTGAAACTTAGCCCTCTGCAAGTCACTCACTCTGGAAAAACCAATACTTTTACCGAACACCAATCCATTTCCCCTGCCACTCAGTCCTGGAAATGAAACCGGGACAGCTCCAGTTGGCATTCTTACCTAAACTGTCAAATTTCACCATTATTATTAGCACCATGGAAAGAAGAAAGAAGAAAAAACTCCTCCGTCCAGAGTTTATTTTCTACTTCTACTATTTGGGCATCCGGAATTAATCGCCTACTTACCATATCAGTAAGCAAATTATTCTGAATGATAAAAAAACACTCTCATATGATATCTACTGAAGATCATATCAGCATAGTTATCAATTTAAAAAAACAAGCTAATTTAAACATTTAAAAAAAAAGACTAATTACTTCACCATCGTTCCCTAAAATGGTATTCTAAGACATGAAGCACGGAGGCGGCAAACCTGGAAGAAATCGCGAGCTGGAAGGCCACCGGTGCGGCGTTCGGAATACTGTTTCGTCGGTTCCGGCAGGGGGCGATATGCGCCGATACAAAAAGCAGGTGGGGGGTTTTTTCCTCCGGCGGGGACTGCGAGTGGGAAGCGCCACTCTAGACGGATGCGGTGGTGAGATAAAAGCTGGAAGGGATTTTGGGTAGAAGGTTGGTTAATGATCTGACGAGACTGGACTTTCTGTTTTTTCCATTTTAGACAAAAAGAAAACAAATACTCCTCCCTTCCCAAATAATTAAATATCCATTTTAGACTGGAAAACACATTTTACTATCTAAGGATCCTTAATTATTAATCAATAATTAAATAATTTAATATTTTTTGAATCAATTATTTTAAAAATTAAAATGAAATTTGAAAAATAAATAATTCATAGTAAAAACATTAAAAATCCATTAAAATTTAAAAAAGTACTTCACAAATACGGAGTACTTAACAATGCTTAATTTAAAAAAATTAATCATTTTACTCAAACATTTTTAAATTAAAAGTAAATAAAGTCTTTTTCATTATTTTTTTTAAATTAAAGTAAAAAAAACTTACTCTCTATTAAATCTATAAAAAAAAGTACTCCCGTGTCTATTTTTTTATAAATAAAATAGTACTAGCACCCCCACCAATATTTTATGCCCCTATCAACCTTTTCCTAACTAAAAAAAAAATTCAAAATATTTTACTCCCTCACATTCTAATTGAAAATTAGTTTTCTAAATCTATTTATATAAAATTTCTAAATTTAAAAGTTTTTATTTACATAGTTATAAATTATGCGTAGTAATATAATATTGAGATAAAATTTAACAGCATTTTTATCATTTCATAATGTCTTTCGAAAAAATAGTTTTTCATGGGCACTGCCCCAGACCCCGCTCATTTAGCGTTTAGTGGTGACTCTACACGCGCTACACACGGTCTTATCTTATACGGAGTATTACATGTTTACTGTTCATGATCAAAATTTATTCACTTTTGCTGACTATTCTGCTACTTACGGAGTGTTAATAACATGGTTATGTTACTTCTTATTTAGAAAAAGGTTCAGATGAAATTTTTTAGAATCATGCTACACTTACACCAAAAAATGTACCCCATTTTTACACCATAGTTATGCATAAACATTTTGATTGTTTACACCGACACAAGTATTGATGCGTTAACAAAATTTTACACGGACACAAATGTTGGTGCGTTAACAAAAATTAGTTTTACATCAACACAAAATATTGGTGCAAAACTGCGGGGTACGAATTGGGGTATAAATGTTGGGGTACACATAGCTTAATCCAATTTTGTAATATGTTACTCCGTAATTTTTATTATTTAATTTACATTGATTCATTATGCGTCATAAGGTTGAGAAAATATAAACGAATATTATAAATATCTCATAAATTTGACTAATTGAAATGAAATAGAACAAATTTTTGTCAGATTTGACCAAAATTGATACTCGTGTGAATAAATTTTTTTCATTTGACCGTTGATGAAATGAATGATTAACCATTTTACGCATATGCGATATTCTATATATGTCTAATTGTCTATATTCTGTAATATAGGTAATTTATTAAATTTATTGATCAATTTAGGGAAATGATATTTTCTGCCAATTTTTTATATTACCAATGCAAATTGCATTATTTACTCTCGCACATTTATACACCCTCCCTTAAAAAATTGGCTTCTCGTTTACTGAATAAAATTTTATAATTTTGTTGACATATTTTTATTGCTCATTTGATAAAATAATATAATCATGTCACCACTAATTTTATATTTTTTCTTTAGGGAAGTCTCTTAACCCTAAGTAATCCTTGCCTAATGTTTTTCTTTATACGTTGTGTAATTTATGTATGTGTGCCTCATTCGATGTTCTGCCCTCTATGTATTTTGAGGAATCCTGAACTTGTTATGTTGTGAACCTACCCCTGTGTTTTGACCCTAATGCATGTTGTAATTGGTGTGAATGTCATGCTTGTCCTAAGTGGCTTCACTGAGCTTGTTGTGATGTTTTACTACACTTGAGAAATCCTAAACTTGCTATGATGTGAACCTCCTCATGTATTCATAGTGTCAAATGTATTCATAGTGCGCAATGGGTAAGTCTAAACTGCAATGATGATTGGGTATAAGTAGAGTACACTTCAATGATGTACAGAGTAATTACAAGGTTCGGTATTCTGTAATTTCTGCTTACTAACCCATCTACGTCAAAAACACAATAGCAGTTGAGCAAAATTAAAAAAAGACCAGAATACATCATCAACCCTTTACAAAAAACAAAAACTAAAACACATTTTTAAGTTCACTCTTGAAGATCGAAGTCATCTTCATCTTCAAGAATGAACTCTGCCAAATTGTCTTCCTCCACTTCCACAACATGTGTAGCGTGGGTGGTATGCTGACCCAATAGTTCAAGTGTCTGTTGCAGTACACCCTCCTCTAGGTGTATAGCATTAGGAAGAGTTCCCTCTCTTGTGAGTCTATCCTTGGCCATATGAGGAACTTTATAATTGTTGCCTCCACCCACCTTTAATACCTCTTGCATGCAATGTTGGTAGCTCAGCCACACTTTATTTAGAGTGTGTGCTGATAAATTTGCATACGAGTCTTCAACTGCTGTGATGAGTTCTGCCACACTAGTAGGAGTTGATTGCTCTTTTAGAGACTGGATTGCCCTAAAAAATCCCAAGTCTAGGATGTTTAAATTAGGGGAATTAGGGGCTTGATTTGTTAAAGTAATGTTGAACCCATTCGAAGTAGCTACTGCCACAAACGCACAAAGTCACAGTCATTGCCCGGAATATGTGGTCTTGCATTGTCTTGTTGGACGATGATGTTTTTCCCTAGCAATGCTGGCCACTTTTCTTGGATGGTGGGTATGACTTTATGGATTAACATGTCTTTAAAGACTTGTTTGGTAACACTATGAATTGGTTTAATCTCCAACACCCCTGCAGTCATATTTTTGCTCTTTCTTTTGGCAGGCATAGTTTCTATAAATGGAAAGATTCCCACTTTTCCATCCCATAGTACCTGCCCTTCTTGGAAAAGAATGGGTCTTGCTACAACCCCGAAGAACATCACCTTAGTTATAAACCTCTTAGATTTACAGGTTCTATAAAGATCATCTTCCTCTAACCCCAAATAAACCCTCTGAGTTGTCTTGGACATGAAAAACCATTTTTCATCGATATGAACAACATTATAAAAGGTCTTAAATCTAGGGTTAGAGGGGATGCTTGAGGGTTCTAGTTGTTTGTAACAGAAAATAAGCCTCGCATGCTTGTTTGCATTGGTGTGACTTCTGAACAAACCTCTTTGAATCCAATGGTGTACCGTTGACTTAGGTACACCTAATGCTATGGCAAGAGATCTGATGTTTGTTCTTTGCCTTAATGGAATGTCACATATTGCATTAAGGTCTACATCAATTCTTTTCCTACCAAGATTACCTGCCATCTTGCTCTTGACATCAATGGCACACCTTTCTTCCAATTGAGTTCTTGCTTGTCTCCACAAAAAGCTTATTGTCCTTCTTGTAATGTTGAAATCAGATGCAATTTTACTTATAACACCCCTCTGTGCAGTAATCTTGCCCAGTGTATTAGGTTTTGCTACCAATAGGATTGCATCAATGATATTTTACCTTTCATTATTGCTCAATCTGTGTTTTCTTTTTTCTTTTGCCTGGGTTTCTTCACCACCATTTTCTGTTTGCAGGGACATGTGGTAGAAGAAAGATTGCAGTTTTTTAAGGAAGAAAAGAGAGAATAAGAAGAAAAGGAAAGAAAGGAAGAATTGGAAGAAGAAAAGGAAAGGAAGAATAAGAAGACTGGGCATGTGTTGCTATTTTTGGAAGGATTATTTATAGAGAATATGTGTAGCACCTTTTCCCTTCATGTTTTGATTTTTTTAATGTGTTTTAGTTGTTTTGGAGGGAAATATTCTTTCACTTTTGTAGATGTGAATCATGCGTATGGGGTGTATGTACATGAACATGTGTATGTAATAATTGAATTGGAAAAAAATCTAAACTTTTATACTTTGTCACTATTGAGCACTATGCACTTTATTCTTTTGATTTGTTTTCTAAAAAGTGACGCATGAAGGGCAAAATAGGAAACTCATCTCTTTTTCCACTTTTCATTAAAACTCATGTCAAGTCAAAACGAGAAGTTTCAACTTGGACGGAGGGAGTAGTACGCTATTTGAACATGGTCTATAGTGCGGAATTACTACCCACAAAAGAAAATGGGGTGATAGGACCTTGCACTATTTACTCTCGCACATTTATACTCCATTCGTTAAAAGACTATCTTTTCGTTCAATATCTACAGTGTCAAACTTTATTCACGTTGTTGTCTTACTTTTGTCTTCATTTGATAAAATAATATAGTCATGACACGTTTAATTGTGTAGATCTTTTAGACTAGTTTTTAAATATGTAAACTATCACAATCCACACTGATACATAATGAAGATGCACACCTATGTTGTAAAATTTGAGACACGACTTCTGGTGTACAACTAGCTTAATTAATTCCACTCTAAATAACATTGCTTCTTAGAGCAACTCCAACGGAAGGGATAAACGAGAGTCTATGGTATAATTATTATCATATTTACCATTTTTTGTGAAATACTTATTCTCCAAAGAGAGGCAAATGAGAAGGTATTATACCTTCTTTAATTTTGGTAGGGCATCTTACCTTCTTCTATTTGGGGAGGTATGTTTACTTTTGTCACTTTTTTCAAAATTTTGTCAATTCATTTATTTATTGTATTTTTTACTATTTTTGCTTGAATGTGTTATTGTGAAATTTTAATTTGTATCCTTGCAATTTGTAAAACTTAAGGAGTTAACGATAGTAAAAGAGGATAATTTCCTTTTTAATTTTATATTTTTTAAAGTTTTTTCAAGCACTCCATGTTTGTGCACGCACAAACATTGGAGGGGAGGGGGGAGGGGGAGAGTATTTAAATAAGTGGGTTGGGATGAAAGATGAGGTGCCCCTAAAAATTGTGAAAACTTGGCAACCATTTAGAATAATACAAAGGTTTGGGCTTCCAAGATCCTCATCAACAAATAGTCTCCAAATTTTCTCACTTCAAAAAACAAAACAAAAAAAATCTAAAAAAGACACTTCCAAGAGTTGTT